GGAATTTTTAAAAGTGTCTCGTAGAATATTACATAGGGATTTGTAGAGTTCATCATTCCCAAACAGAATGGCGTATTTCTTTTTCGATCTATATAGTTCTTGAAAAACTGGAAAATGTCGTTGTGAAGATTATCTTTTCCCAATTGGACATACATTCTCTTCTTTGTTAGAAAACACTGCTCTGTGATTGGTTTCGCCGGGTTGTAATTTACTATCTTGAAAATTATTTGATTATTGTAATAATTTAGTGGTTTCTCTCGAATTGGAATTCCCATTATTGGATTTTCTGCCGTGGAATGTTTGGTTACGTATGGTTATCTTCTTGTAAGTATTGGGAGTTTGATGACTGAGCTTTAGATTTTTGCTGTCTACTGTCTTCATGTAGGATGTCGTCTATTATCTTCATTTCTTTGGGAGTTAACGTTTGCAGTTTGGTTTTTCTGGATGATTTTCTCTAAGTCGCCTAAAGGAGTTGACGGATTCGAAATTTGTTGAGACTCTCAGGCTCTGTTGGTTAGAAATTCTTCTATATCGGATAAGGAACTAAGGAACATTTTCCTTTGAGAGAAGTTTCATTATTTTTTCCATGTTCTCATCTACACTGTTTAATTCTTTCGTGTGAATTTCGACACGGGATAAAGCATCTGCATTGGTGTTGGATTTGTCTTTTTTATATATTACTTCGTAGTCAAATTTCTCCAGCTTTAATCTCCATCTGACAAGTTTTGAGTTTGGATTCAAGTAAAAATAGCCATTGTAGTGGTCGATGGTCGGATAAAATTTTGAATTTTCGTCCGAAAAGGTATGGGTGGAAGTATTTAGTAGCCCACACAATTGCTAACATCTCCTTTTCGATAGTCGAATATTTCAGTTCAGTTTCATTTAAAGTTCTGGATGCATAAGCGATAGGTTTATCATTTACTATTGGACCTTGTGATAGGATGGCTCCTATAGCGAAGTTGTTTGCATCAGTCGTAAGGTTGAAGGGTTTATTGAAGTCTGGATATTGCAGAAGTGGTTCATTAATCAATAAGCTTTTACAGGTTTTGAAACAGTTTAAGAATTCTTCGGTATGTTTAATTTTTGTATCCTTTTTCAGACATATAGTAAGTGGTTTTGTAATTTTGGCAAAGTCCTTTATAAATTTTCTATAGTATCCAAGTAATCCTAAAAATCCTCAAATTTCTTTATGATGGCTCTAATCTTAGTCGGGTTTGATTTAATTCCCTCGCAGGTTACGACGTGGCCTAAAAAATCGACTTCTTTCTTAAGGAATTCACATTTTCAAAAAAATTTTCTTAAGATTTACCATGTGTTCTTGAAGAGAGGTTGAAAATACAATAACGTCGTCAATGTAGACAAGGTATATTTCTCCTATAAGTCCTTTTAGCACGTTCTCCATTACTCTCTGGAATGTTGAGGGTACATTTTTGAGTCCGAATGGCATTCTCAGGTATTGATAGTGGCCATTTTCAACGTTAAATGCAGTCTTCTGGATATCTTCTTCGACCATTTCAATTTTATGGAATCCGCTGGCCTAGATCTAGGGTTGAAAAGTATTGGCAGCGTCCTAGTTTGTCCAGAATGTCTGTTATATTGGGAATTGGATATCGGTCATCGATGGTTTTCTCGTTCATCTTCCTGTAGTCGACAACTATTCGCCATTTAATTTTTCCTGAGGCGTCTGGTTTCTTTGGAACGACCCAGATTGGGGATGACCAGGGTGATTGACTCGGTCTAATAATTTCTTGATCGAGCATCGAAGTGATCTGCTTACGTACTTCTTCTTTATGGATGTGTGGATACCGATATGACTTGGTATAAACTGGAACTTCGTCTTTGGTTCGTATATGGTGCTTTATTTGGTTAGTAAATATTAAAGGATCATCTGGGTGATGAAATATCTTTGCAAACTTCCTGCACAGTCGTCTTAGGTGAGATTCTTCTTCTGTATTAAGGTGATCGGTTCTAAGAAGAGGATCGACATCTCTTAGATTACTGTCTTCGGTAGGTATGATATCTGACGTGTATATATGATATTCCTCGAGATTTATTGCTTGACTTTTGATGGAATCAGTTAATGCTACTTGGATGTATTCATCGCTGTTATTGACTAGCTCGGTCCAAGCAAGTTGATTACAGGCAAAAGTGAGAGTTTCTCTTAGGATGGCACCTTCGATTTCTTGTCTTGGGATGACGATTGTACCGGATGCTTCCTTTACTGGCAATCTGACTTGGGTAATTGTTTGGGGCTCTAGCTGGACTGTATAGAATTGGTCTTTGTTTGTGACATAGTAATTAATAGGAAGAATAGAATTCTCTGTAGTAAGAGTAGCTTGGGTAAAATCGAGATTTGCTTTTAGAAGTTTAAGATTATCGAGGCCGATAAGACCGTCGAATGTCTTGTGAAATTTAAAAAGATAAAATTTTAAGTTAATATCCGAGTTAAATTCGGAAAAAATTGGAATTTCTACACAATAATCTTGTGAATGATTCTAAAAAATTGATGTAACGATAAATGGTTCATATTTAATATTATTTTTGTAGAATTTTTTGGCTATATTAGGATTAAGGAAAGATTTAGTGGCTCCTGTATCAATAAGAAGTTTAAGAGGTGGGTTTTGAATTTTAATGTAAGAAAGCTGTCTTTTGTCAGCATAGGAATGTAATTCTACTACGTATCTTCTTTTTCTTCTGGAAACGTTTGAAAATTTACATGTTCCTTATATTCTTGGCTTTCTTGTTCATAATAAGGGTAATCTGGGTATGTGTCATTGTCTATACCTTCATTGTAATTATTTTCTTTTTGTTGTTCGATAGTAGAAATTTCTTCTACAGTAAATCGGGGGCTGGCTGTTTGTTGAAAGCGAAAGTTTCTTTGAGATTGGGGTCTATTAAAGCCGGTTTGGCGTGTAGATATGCTCATAGGTGTTGGCTTATATGATTGAGATGGGATTGGTTTATGAAAATTGGGTTGATTAGCCCTAGAATTTTGTGCATATGGAATGATTTGTTGAAATCTAGGGGGTTGAAATGTCCCTCTTGGATTATTGTTGAATGGCTGCTGTTGCAGGGGCATTTGATTTGGCCTAAAGAATGGCTGTGGCCATTGGGGCTTGAGCACCTCAGGCTGCCATCGTGTAGGAGCGGGTGTATGAGTTAAATTTGGTCTCTGTGTTTGTGAAGTCGTAAATGGTTTATTAGATGATAAGGAATAATTATTTTTTTGGAGATATCTAATGTAATTTTCTTCCTGAATATATTGGATAGCAAGGGCGAGATTTGGTGGTCTCATGGATCGAATTGTTGATCCTAGGGGTTCTCTAAGGCCAGCCAAAAATGTGGTTAGAGCTTGTTGTTGGAAAAATTCTTTTTTACTTCTTTTAACCTCCTCGATTTCTGTATGTAATTCAATATGATTTGAGATAGTATTTAAAAGACTCATAACTTTTTCAAGAAATTGATGTGGGTTTTCGTTTGGAGCTTGACGAAGATTGACTAAATCTCTGGTTAACGAGTTTTCGTTACGTTGGTCTGAAAAATTTTGGACAAGAATTGATTTTATTGACGGCCAGTCTTTACAGCCCTATACAGAAATAATTTCTCTGGCTCTTCCTTTAATTTTGTTCATAATTCCTCGGGTGAGCATGTGATTTTGAGAATTTTCGGGATTCGTATGATCCCAGAAATGGTTTAAAAGCATGGAAATAACATCAATAAAATTGTGGAGTTCATTGGGATTGTCGTTGTACTCTGGTACGATAGAAAGGTCTTTATTACCATCGAAAATTGGTGCCATATTAGAGTTATTTAAAATGGATGCAGGAGTAATAATTATTGAATGTATTTCAAACGAATTTTTGGACTTAGGGTTATTATCAACTAAATCCAAATCTGGTTTAATATTTTCACTAGATTCTATATTAGATTCAAAAATTGTTGCAAGAGAATCGCCTATTCTAAATGATGATACTTGTGAAATGATATAAGAATTAGAAATAATATTTGCTTACAGATAGAGGATGATGCCTGGATGCATTCCTTTTTGGTACAAGTTTCTTTTCTTCTTTAAGTTTCTTTTCAGCTTTGTTCGTAAATATGTTTCTGTGCCAATTTGCCTGGAATCCATGGGTTAAACAGCTGCAGTTTTCCCTGGATTTTGGTTCGGTAACGGGTAAACGTTTGAAAACGACGAGGATCTTCTGGAGACTCTCCCACTAATCCACTGAATGCGGCAATTAAGGGTTGTCACTCCCGAAGGTACTTTTTAAAAAGGCCCTTTTAAAGGTAGAACGAACAGAGTAACAGATTTTTATTTAATATAATTACAACTAACTTTGAAATAAAAATTAACAGTATTTATATGAAATTAATTTATGACGACCTGTCTGCAATATGTGTCGAAATTGCTGATCGGCTGGAGTATTGAACTGCAATACCGCTGACAATTGGGGTTATTGTACCGAAATTTGATAGTTATTTTGATTTTATAAGGTTCTGGAGGCCAAAAAAACATCTGTTGCCAGCCTGAATCCTGTTGTTTATTTCTTGTGATCCATTATTGTCTTCAGTTATTGTTGTTCCAAGATACTTGAATTCTCTAACGCGCTCAAAGTTAAAGTCATCGATGGTAATGTTCTGACCGATTCTGTCTCTGCTTTGGTTATTGCGGCTCCTATACATATATTTCGTCTTGTTTTCGTTGATTTGGAGCCCCATTTTCTCAGCTTTCTTCTCGAACCTCACGAAAGTCTCCTTCGTCCTTAACCGTGTGTTTCCTGTTAGATCGATATCGTCTGGAAAGGCCAGTAGTAAGTTTGGTCCTTCTCGATGAAATACTGTATTAGGTTTTTGATTGACAAGACTGCATCACTTCAAACCTTTGTGGTTTGGACACAAGAATTTTCCACTCTACACCATTAGTCTTAAAATAATTGGTGGTAGGGACAAACTCATAAACAAAATTATTCTCCATATTCCACTGTGGAAAATAAAGGGGGGATCGGAGTATCTTTGATCTCAAATTATCGAATCAAGGGTGTATTCTATCTACATCAACTTCCAAATAATTAATCTCTTGGGTAGTTTCTATCTTATTTTTCCTTCGGGAAGAATGCCATGTCCTATCCTCAAAGATTACTAACAGTGAGAACTGATGCATGAAATTATTTCCCAAAATGAAATTGTAAGGGACAGAAGGTACCACAAAAAATTTTACCATATGACACACCATTAGCCTCTACTGGGAGATCAATGGTATCAACAACTGATTTATTGGAACCATCTGCTAAGCGGACATGCTTAGTAGATGTGAGGTTATATTTAATTTCTTTGGGATTTAGAAATTCAACTCAAGCGGCACCTACAATGGATGTAGAGCAACCATTTTTTAAAAGAACTACAAAGTTTCTAGAAAAAATGGAAATACTAACATGAGGACGACTATCAAATCCTTTCTTTTCAAAAATTGGGTTCAACGATGGCCTGTAAAGTCTATTGATCTTAGATCTATTCGAAATACAACACTTAGGGCAAGAAGATATGGTCACACCTTTATAACCACAACAATAACAAGATACTGACTTGCTTCTACAGTCACGGGAAATATGACCTGGCCTATTACAATTAAAACAAATAATCTTTTTCGGATTTCTGGGAGCTTGATAAGGGGCAGATTGTATTACTGGAGGTGGGGATGAAAAAGATTGCATCATTGGGGTTGGAGATGAAAAAGACTGATTTCTTATTTCAGTATTTTCTGGTGGACTGGGTCTATCATTTTCATACATATATTTGGGATTGGGTCTCCTAGAAGAATTATTTTCTCTGTCCTGTCTGTTACCTACTTTACTTCTGTCTTGCTTATTTTGATTATTTATCACATGAACTTGTTCTTTGGGCTTTTCCGAGTCATCAATTGAAATACCTGCACGACCTTTAGTAGTCTGCAACAAGGGCAGGACATTCTGCTCCAAACGTTTTATAGTTGCTACTAACATTTCTACTGTAGCAAAATCTTGTAGGGCTATCAGTGGAATGTAGTCCACTAAAATATTTTTTCTCATTATTTTCACCTTTTGGGCTTCACTAGGGTATGTTTTCAAACGTTTAAAAAGGTTTTCCATCAATGCTGAATAAATGGTTATGGATTCATTTCTTTTTGCTTTCTACTTTTAATTTCATCTATTAGATTATCATTATAATCTGGGTGCAAAAAAGTAGATTCGAGGGCTATTAACTCATCCCAACTATTAATTCTATCTCTAACACTCCTATACCAAATAGCAGCATTACCTTCAAATAACTCAATGGCTAAACAAAAACAGGATGTCTTCGGAAATATTCCTAGACCTAGCAGAATCTCTAACTTTTTCTAAAAATGTGGGAAGGGCTTTATTTCACCATTAAACTTAATATGTAAATTAGAAATAATGACCGTAGTTGAAACTTGTATTATTGAGGCTGGAACTGTACTACTGGAATCTACAGAGACTGAGACGGGGCTACTAGTAGATGGTTTTACTAATTCATAAGATATTTCTTCCTTTTCTAAAACATCACCCTTAAACATCAACAAATCATCTTTACAATCATTGACAAACTTTTTTACATCTTCCTCAACATCATTCATAGGAAAATTCTCTAATCTGGTATCTAAATGTGAAGACCTTGTCTCAAATCTAGAAAATCAGCCTTAGTTTATTCTACATTCATTGTTTGAGCACTACTATGTAAATCTTCCATAATCGACTTAATCTCACACAACTCCTTCTCAGGATCTACTACATTATTAACCAAATCGACTAAACTTGAAGACGAAGTGGCCTCCTTGGCCAACAAAGCCCTTACCATCTTTCTCTTATCATCTACTGTCTTAATTGGGACATTTTTACCTCTTCTGAAAAGCTCATAAGATAACTCTCCTGATTTCAAATGTTTAACCTAAGTAGACTTTATTTTTCAAAAATTGAATAAAAGCAAACACATAAAGTAACTAAAATCAAACTCAACAACTAGTAGAAAATATGACAATTCAAAGAAACAACCGTTTCCATTTATCACCTGATAGTAAGTCTCCCTTGCACATCTGTCCCCTAAAAGTTCACACTTCCACCAACAAGGACTAAAAAAGGTTTTAAACAACATGGGACAACATGAACACTAACAAACAACATTAACTGTATATACAGGAGAAGACAAAACACAAATAATATTGAAAACTTTGACCTTTGAGTGAGCTACACTAAATAAAACCAAAATAAACCAACTCTTGTTCCGAAAACTAAATGAGACTGCTCCTAGTAAAAACTAAAACAGCATCTCCTGATCACAAATATTACACCTGTGGTCATTCAGATACAAGAAAGGATACACAACAAACAAACAGTCTACTACTGAGACTAAATTTGGTCGAATCTTCTTTACGACTCACAATGACTACTTCTACACAAACTTTAACTAACATGTGGCATTGAAATACGCCTTCAGAGGTGGTTAATTAGAAGACAAATTGCATAACACTACTTCACAACTACACAGCTCAAACAAAGTCACTCAAACAATACACACATTTACTCAAAATGACCGAACAAATAAAAAAAATTACAAAAACCGATTATTCTGTAAAATCTGTCAAATCAATTAAAAATAAATGCAACAATAACTGAAATATTTGTAACCGTAATAAACTTTTAATTTTTTTTCATGAGGCCCCCATGAATTCGTTAAAACTTCTTGGACTTAATTTACTTTCATCGGCTTTTATAATCTGGCTTGTTCGGTAGATAACATTTTTAATCTTCTCCATAATGAAGTACGGACCTTCCCAAAACTGCTGCAACTTGGGAGAACAACCCTTTCGCTTCTTTGGGTTGTAGAGCCAGAATTTGTCGTTCTTTTTAAAACATCCCTTTTTGGCTTGAGTATCGTACCGTTTCTTCATTCAGCCGCTAGAGATCTGAAAATGGGAACAGATTAACTTATGTATAGTGGCCATTCTTCTTTACAACTCGTGTAGGTATTCTTCACCAGCTACATCTTTTCCAGGTAGACATCCAAACTCTAGATCACAAGGTACTCGCATCGCGTCCGAATAGCACTTTTGCTATTCTCCGGATCTGTAGGCCATTGCGAAGAACGGAAGTTATTGGTCCCAGCCTCATTGATGATTGGATACCATTTTTGTCAAATAGTTGTCAACTGTCTTATTCATCCGCTCTACCATTATATCCGATTGTGGGTGATAGGCTGTAGAACCTCTGTGGACAAATTCAAATGTAATTATAAGTTCGAATTGTTTCTAAATTCCCTGTGTCTGCTTCTTCTCGATTGACGATGATAAAATAAAATGTTGAAATATTAAAATATGGTTTTATTGACAGCTACTGAATTATTACACTATATTTGTTGTTGAGAAAAAAATTTATAATAGACTATGTCCCATACTAGATCCGAAGCTATACTTATAATCTCACTAAAATGCTATGATTCATCTAAGTGTATTGCCATCTACATAGAACAACAATACTTTGACTTTTACCTTCTACCAGTCCATGGGTCGTCTCTCCGGTGATCCTGGTCAAGAAGAAAGACGGAAATGATTGCAGCCATTTCCTCAATAATATTAGGCAAGTTGAAGTTGATTAGGCAATAGGTTGCAGGAAGCTAAACAAACTTTAATTAAACTATTAATCGATATGTTTCACAATTATACACGGTGAATCTCTACAAATTCAGGAAATTAAGATGAATATGAGATTAAAAATAAATGAAATAATTTATGATTGAACACACTGCCTATTTTTCTTTATGCCCAGTTTACCATAGATTCCCCGGAATAGGTCGTTTTTAAAGTTCCTTTCTCGGTCACTAGGATCTCCAAAGGACCTACATATCGACTAATATACTCTCTTTACATAGACGGAACTATTCATCCAATGAAACCGTTTCCGAAATCACTAAAGAGTTTTCTTTACACCGAAATACCCTCCTGATGAACTGTCGTTTGAGTGACAAAGTACTTCGGTTATTTTGCTCTGCTCTACATACAGTTAGAATCACAAACTGTATGCTCTTTTATGAACCATCATTATTTTCCAGTACTCGTTTAAGCAATCTGTCTTTCATGATAAAGTAGTCTGGGTTGAATACGTCTTAACTACTAAGCATATTTTTGATTCTTCTTCTTTTCATTTTAAAATTTTCTGTAAAACTGGATCTTTCTCTTGTTCTTCTCTGATTTTAATAGGCGTCCGCTATTCGTTAACCATTGTTGTTGTTTGCCCTGTCGCTTCCTTGGACTCTGTTTTGTTGTAGCGGGACTACTCTGCTGGGCACGGCCTTCTAGAAAGAGAATCAGCGTTATCTAAGATAAACTTTCTTTCTGGCATTGGAGACCCCGATATTGGCGCTGTAATCAAATGCTTGTTAAAGGTTTAAAAGGTAATTTGACTCCTTCCCCGCAGTAATCTCTTGCTTTTTTTGTAGGTCGGTTAATGGTTTAACGATAGCTACAAATTTCTTAATAAATCTTCTTTAGTAAGTACATAGCCGAAGAAAACTTCTCGCTTGATGTCTGTCAGTCGGTTTTTGCCATTCCTTAACGAAATCGATTTTTCCTTTATCCACAGCCAACCCTTCCTTGCTTACTATATAATCCAGATAATTGACTTTGCTTTGAAATGTCTTTGAGTTCATCAATTGAGCAGCTTTAAGTCGATTAAAAACGTTTTCTAAATTCTTTATATGGTCTTCAAAAGTCTCCTCAATACGATAATGTCATCTAAATACACCAGGCGCGTTTTACAATATAACCCTCTCAACGCATTTTCAATAAGCCTTTCAAATGACGCAGGAGCATTAAAAAGTCCAAATTCTGTTTGAACGCAATAGCGTTAAATTTTCACAATTTAGATCCTGAGGTGAAGGCTATCTTCTCTTTATCTACTGGGTACATTTCTACCTGCCAGTATCCAGACTTTAAATCCAAAGTAGAAATCAATTTCCGTCCATCCAATGTATCTAACGTGTCATCGACCCGCGGCAGAGAATACCTATCTCCCTTGGTAATATTGTTCAACAAACGGTAGTCCACACATAATTTCATCGTTCTGTCTTTCTTCTTGACCAGAATTACCGGAGAGAGAGAGACCCATGGACTGGTAGAAGGTTATACCTTCATTTGCTAAACAATCGTTTCAGTTTTTTCTCTCCTCGCCTGTGGTAATCGTCGAGGTATTTGACGAATTGGCTTAGCATTACCAGTATTAATTTATGTTTAACACCAGTAGCTCTTCCCGTCTTTCATCCTTTCAGTGCGAAAATGTCACGATAACACCGAAGAAATTCCCTTAATTTCTTTTTCTCCACCTGATTTAAATACTGGCCAGCAACTGCAACCATTTGGTCGAATTTGTCGTTAGAATTATTGGATGTTGTTGTCTGACGGATTATGGACGTCACAGGTGCACAGGTTTCTACTTTGGTCTTTTATTGATGGTCGCTGGTTACTCATTGACGTTGATAAGTCTTACAGAAGTTTCTTAAGCAGAAGTCACCAATTTATTTCCAATTATGATTCCTCGGCCAATCTTCTCATCATGGTTCCAAGGCTCCCTCATAACAGGTGTTCCTTTTTCCACAATTCCCTGTAGCCGCTCTACTATGATCGTTTCACTTCTCGCAGGCACAAATGTATTGTCTTTAACGGCTGCTTGCACAGTGCTGTCATCATGAGGATGGAGGAATACCTCCTTGTTATCAACTTTGACTACCTAACTCTTAAATTTTAATTGTAATCGATGAAAATTTATTACGTCCTTTCCTAATCTAACATTCTCTTCGATGTCAGCAACTATAACAGTATGGATGAACTTTTCTGCTCCAGTTCCTAATTGTATCTGGATTTCTCCATGGATGTTGGAATTTTTACCTGTGGCAGTTCAAAGTCGCAACCTCTTTGTTAAAAAATATATAAGCTTTGTAAATATATCAACTTGCTCCATGAAACGTCGTTAAGCACAGGGACTCTGTGAGTAAACTGCACTAACAAATACACCAAAAATTTACTACTGAGGTGGTTAGGACTATGGGAGGTCTGTAGGATGGAGCATACTTGAAGTACAACATGACCAAATAGTCTATGATCCCCATCTTCGTCCCAAAGAAAGAGACTGAAGAAGAGAGACAATCAGGAACCGTCTAGAGATGGAAAATAAAGACCTAAGGATGAAAGAGTGGTTGTTGAACATTTGGGAGATCGGCGAGAACGCGCATATCCTCGTATACACGATCGGCGAGGTCTCCTATAAAGTATTGAAGGCTGCTAATTTTAAGGCGTATTCCTCCTCCTCCTCTATCCTTTATCCTTCGTAAGGATGTGGTGACGTTATGGTATTTGACGAATGGTTGCTCTCCATTCTTTTCTCTTCTGAGCGCAGTGTGCTGCTTCAGATAGAGAGTAACCGGTAGCGCATTTTATTTAATCTGACGATCGGAGTGGCAATCTTCCTCGAGTTCTTTTACCATCTACCTTGTCGTTAACCACCAACTTCTCCATGCCTTCCACTCGTCTGGTAATGTGTCCAAAGTACCTTAATATATTTTGGTTGATGATTGTGGTAAGCCTAGTATTGATGTCGAGTTTTGTCAATATTGAGACATTTGTGCGATGTGTTGTATTTCAAAGGCCATTATATCTGTCTATCTATCTATATTAAATAACGTGGAAGAGATTATATATCCTTGACGAACATTGGCTTTTAGTTTAAAATTATTGGAGTATATGTTGTTGACTCTCACGTTTGCTGTGTTCTTGATATACAGTTGTTTCAGTAGGTATATGAGATGTTAGGGGGTACCCATTTCTCTCTCAGTATTCCTCACATCTTATGTCACTTTACATTATCGAACTCTTTTGAGTAGTCGACGAAGCACAGATATGTTCCTATATTAAATTC